GTTCTCTGCCCAAATCCACCTCCACTGGGCTTCTATCTCCAAAATATACTGTCTGAATCCCGTGAGAACTCAAGGGGAACTCAGGCAGCAGGATACGCCCTATTCCCAGCAAGAATGATCTTAAACCTTAAACCTGGAACCTAAACCGGGAACGCCCTAATCCGCCTTGGTCCTTGAGCAAGGTCACCTACATTCAATGTCACTGCAACATGGGGTACGCTGGCAAGGAAATTGTCATACCTACTTGGCTAATGGCTCCCAGCATCCATAGGCTCCCCCTCCTGCCTCCTCTGCATGCCTCTGAACTCCACAACTCTGCTCTGCATAAGGTGTTGTGAACATTGGCGCCCTGGTGTTTGCCTGCGTTTTTAATAGACAGTGGTATCTTCCAACCCGATTGAGCTGCCTGCCTGTTCCCTTCAAGTTATCTTCCCAGAAGCCAGTTATTGCTTTGGTGAGGACTCTGGTTACAAAGTCTCATAGTTGTGGGGTGGTCCTCCCAGCCCTCTGTAATTTTCATGCGTGATTTTTTTGAAAACGAGCAGGGTACTCAGGAGCAGAGGTTGCAGTGCAGCGGAAATGCTGGTGTCCCAAGGAGACAGGACATCAAGACTTACTGAATGAACAAAATGTAGTCCAAGTTGTTCTAGGGATTCAGAAAGTGACATCTACATGATTATATGGTTATTTTTTAAGCGGTTACATTGTAGCTAAATAACAAACCATTTTCTGTTTGGCATCAGTCTATTCCTGGATGGTGGGATAGGATACTATGCTTCCCCTCTGAATCCACTCTTTTCCGTTTCCAGTGTGCCCTGCAGGTCTGGCTGCATCAGTGGTGACTCTTGCTGTAGGGCCTCTTGTTGGGTCCAGCCAGTGGGAGGGAAGAAAAGGATATTGGAGGTGGCAGAGGGCCAAGGCAAGTGACCAGTCTGCGGTTCTCCTGGTCTGTGTGTTCACTTACTTCCTGCTGGATCTTTGACTACTGAACAACTTTCTTTGAAGGTTTGTGTGTTTGCTAACCTTGAGCAGGTGAACCAGTGAGCCAGCTTCCTTACCTCTTGTTAGAATTAGAAATTAACAAGGAATGGGGTGGAGTGGAATGGAATTTTACTATGTCTTCAAATAACAGAAGGAGTATTCTTGGCAAACGTGTATTCCCCAAGCAACATAACATACATTTGAAAATGTGCCATTCAAAACATAACTTCAGTAGACAGCAGTGTCTCAAGGGTCATGGTCATGACTAACAGTTATAATTGTACTAAAGATGTGTGGACAGTCTGTTTATCAGGACACTGGAGAGCACCAGAATTTTCTATACTTTGGGTATAAAAATCCTTTATGCCTACTGTAAAAATCCCTTATGAGCACTGCTAAATTGCAAATAAAACAGAGACCTGGAAAAATGGTCATATCAAAGGACTTGCACTTTTAAATAAAGTCAGAAATATTTGTTGAATGTCTCCCAGGCTCCAGACATTCTTATGATCTGGTCCTTGTATTTCCTTTCAATTTTGGGGCAATCCAACAAAGTGGTTTTGTTCTGGCTGTTTTGTAGATGAGAAGTTCAATAACAGGATCACGGCCACACATCTGGTAGGGGACAGAACCCAGAGCAGAGGCTAGGCTTGTTAGATTCCAAAGTCCACCCTCCTTCATTAGACCAGTTGCTCCTGAAGGACTGTTGGGAGAGGATTAAGAACTCACAACTTGACTCTTCTGAGCGTACATGGCTTGAACCGTCCTGGAGAGGTTACTCCCAGCCGGCTGCGGTGGCCAGAGCTTCTCTTTTTGTTCTTGCTTCTGGGTGGAACTGGTTCTTATGGCTTAAGCATTGGTCTGTGCAAAGGCTCAATACTCAGATATTCGCCTGCAAGACCATCCTTTGCGGTAATGGCCGGCAGTCACCAGGCTGCCAGACCCAGGGCTGAATTTTTCACCCCAGGGGAGGGATGGCTGCCATTTTTCTGGGGAGTACCTGCAGGATTGCAGGTCGACTCAGGGAGCCCCAGGGCTGCAGGGGAGCTGTGATAATGAAAGCAATGCTTTTTACTTACTCTTGAAGAGCTGCCTCAAAGTAGCAGACCATACTCAGCAGGCAGAGGCACGCACGGCTCTTCATGTCCCATAATGAGGCAACAAGCTGTTCTATGAGAAGGCAAAATAAAAGCTTATTTTTAAATATTTTATGTTCCTCAGATGCAGCCCAAGTGCAATTAAATCCTGAAGGGCAACCCAGACCTGGAAAGTCTATCCCAGCTCTTCTGGAGGTGGTGGGCAGTGAGGACAAGCAGTGGCTAGGGAAGAGGATTGGATCCAGGAATGAGGCACTGGGGGTCCCCACCTGCACCTCACTTGGAGCCTGCTGTTGACAAACCAGCAAGGTGAGGTGGTCGAGTTTTTGAGAACTTGGGCTCTGGAGAGAGACTGCCTGTGTTCCTGTCCTGACCTTGGCACTTGCCTCTGTGCCTTAGTTTCATTCATCGCCTATAGAATGGGAATAACAAACACATGTCTCCAGAGGGTTGTTGTGAGCCTTATTTGGGGTAACGTTTGTGAAGCATAAAGTACAGGATAAACTGCTGTTAGTGACAGTTCTTACAATTCTCAATTTTCAGAGTCTCAGAGATGTGAATCAGCTTGGGTGAGATCACACAGCTGTTGAGTGAATTAGGGTTGGAACTCAAGTCTGCCCAAATTTAAAGCTGTTTTCTCACTTTTATACAGAAAAGAGTGACCCTGGGAGATCTGTTGTAAAAGTGAATGATGCCCAGCTAATGTCCCCTGGTGATATTTAGGCCCAAAGAGGGAGAGCTCTTTGGGTAACAACTTCTGATGCTGCCCAGGATAGGTGAGGGCATCAATGTCCACATCCTGGCAGTGTCCCGGGGCCAGGAAGTTAGACCAGGAGAAAAGAGAGACAAGTGTATTGTGCCAGATGCGAAAGCCAATATTGAAAACCAGTTCCAGGTGAGATTCCCCTGAGAGAATCCTTCAGACATGTGGCTTCAGTGTAGGCCAGTTCCAAAATATTCTTCCCTTCTCGTTCTACCATTCTGTATTGGAAGTGTTTGGGGATTGCTTTGCTGAGAAGGGTTGTGGGTCATAGACATGAGCCATTAAGAATATAGGGAACCACAGTGCTATCAATACTTGTTCAGTGTGCTGTCTCCAAAACTGAGAATATTGGCTGCCATGTATTATGTGACCACTGACATTCATTACAAGAATGAAAGGGTGAATGAAGGAAAGAGGGTAAACTTAATGAATTGAAGTTTTGCATGCCAGAGAAGAACAGAGAAGTGCTTCATGAATACCACCCGGGGTGAGCCAAATATGGCACCCAGGCCACTGGCTAGGAGACCAAAGCAGGGCAGGCATGTGAATAGCAGGTATTTTGCAAAGACTGCACACTTCCCCTCCTCCCCTTCCTCAGGGTGGGCATTGCATGTCAGGAAAAAGGACCCACCTACCCAGGGCCAGGAAGGCTTTCAAAATACAGGAGAGGGAAGCCCTGGAATACCAGTTTGTTACTTCCATGGGGCAGGGTAGCTGCTGGGCATCTCCCAAAAGCACACTGTGGGGGTGGAGGGGTGAGGTTGGTCTGGCAAGTTGGGAGGCTGTTTCAGTAATTCAGGTGAGAACTGAGGAGGGCTTGACTCCAATGCAGGTGGTGAGAACATCCTGGAGGTGGTGTATTCTGGATATGTTTGTAGGGAGGACCGTCAGCACTTATTGGACTCATCACATCCTGCCCTGAGGCCTTAGATGTCCCCAAATAAAGTGAGTTTATAGTTTCCAGCTGAGAATGTTGGCCAGCCACCAGCAATTGCTAGGAACTGGCTTTTTTAGAATGACTGCTATATTCATTGTTTTTGAATTTCTGAGCACCATCTGTTTGGTTCCACGGTGTCTTTCTTTTCATACTTATTACAGATCTATTGAAATGGCATTGAATCCCACAATTTTGCACCTGGAAATCATTGTACCTTTTCCACTGATTTAGTTTTGCAGCTCCTCACTGTCCCTGTCTCTGTCTCTGTCTCTCCTTTGGCTATAAATGGCCACATATTTCAGAACCACACTGCCCTACAACTTTGATTCTAATGCAGGAAGGGAAAACTTTTGTGATTAGAGGTACCCTTAAATTGCATTAATGCCTCAGTTGGTCCTAATTCATGTGCTTGCAGGTGTCTGTGGCTCTGACAGAGACAGGGTGTGTGTGTGGTGCCAGGGATCCCCTTCATTCTACAGGTAGACTCTCACTTGCTCCTGAGCTCCTCCCATGAACCCCCTGGTTCTCTACTGGAACCAGAAAGTTTCCCCAGAGATTTGTTGCAAAGGCTGACAGTGTTAGACCTGTCCCTCCTCTGGTGGTCACATTTACCTGCCAGCCATTATCTGCCCGTGCCAGGAATGTCACTTGAAGTAAGTCAGAGGGCATACCATGGTTGGTCCCCTTCCAAGAAGTCACTTTGGGCCCTCCCTTTAGGACTGCCTTCTTGCTGGTAGTGTCCTTTGCTCGTCCCAGCCTCCTGCTTGCCTCTGACCTGGGCTTTCCTGTTATCCCAGGGTATTGGCCCTGACTTCTGGCCTTGGCTTTGCTCATGTTCTGACCTGCACCTGTGAGTGCCACGTTCTGACTCATCCATAAGGACCTGGAAACTCCTCCGTGCCCTCCAGTCCAGTCTGGGTACCAGGCCTCTGCTCTTGCCATGGCCCTTTCCTGTTGGTCCTGCTCTGTGGTGCTTCGTGTCCCCCAGTGGCAATGGAGGCCATAGGGTTTGGCTGTCCCTAAATGTGCCTGTTTGGCTGAGGGAGAAGCTAAGGCCCAGTTCCTACGTCATTATGCAGGATGCTCCCTCTGGGCATCTTTTGATCATTCCACACCTGGACCTCAGAGTTTTGAGTTCTACTTCTCTTGTTATTCAACAAGTTTTGAAAACCCAACATTTTATTCTACATTTTTATTTTTTTGGATGAAACTAAGTAGCTTGATGACATCTTTTAAGCTGTGCTCATTGGCCCCTTTAAGGAGCGTGTGTGCTTTCTTGGGTACAATGGGAGTAAGGACATGCTCCCCTAAATACGGCATCTGCCATTTGAGAAAAGCAGAAGCAGGAAGCCACTTGCATCTTCCCCTTCCCCCTCCTGGGAGATGTGTCTTCAGTCTCTGATTTGAGGGAGTATTTTCCTGCTATCCCTGGACCTGCAAGAAAAGAGCATTCATATCTTGAAAGACGGAGGACACAGAAGAACTGGGTTTTATACATTCATCCAATTGTACTTCTCCACAACCACCTGTTTCTTCATCAAACCTAGCATAAAAAAATACACATTTTTACTAGTCGTTTTACTTCTTAATTTCTGAAGTTTCCCATACCTCCTGGATAGTTACAGTAAATAAGTTTGTGTGCTCTTCTCTTGCTAATCTGTTTTCTGTTGAAGGAATCCCAATATGAACCTTAGTCATAGAAAGAAAGGGATTTCTTATCCCTGACAGGTACACCATCTGATTTTAGTATTTGTTTGTTTTCTGGAAGGTGGGGATTGCTTTTCTGCTTAAATTACCTTGTAACATAACTAATGTGACTAATTATGTTTTAATGCAAACAGGAATAGGCTTGGACTAGGTTAATGTTATTGATGATCATGATGAAGGTTTCTTTGTGAAACAGAACACTATTAGGAAAAAGTCTAATGTGCTCCCTATGTGCTCTTTTTGGTAGGTAACCCAACCCCTGGTCTGGTCAAGGTATCTGCTTCTAGTACGGAACTCTGAGATAATTAAATGGTCAATTGGTGACCTAACAAAAATGCCCAAGGAAATTTAAACGATTATCAGCTTCGGACATCCAAAATAGGTTTTTGCTGCCAAATAATAGGCTTGAAACCCAAGTTCATTTTATAAAAAGGAAGGTATAAAGTGATCTTCAAAAATAATCATGATCTGAAACCTGCCTGTCTGTTCAGGAGTGACTTGGGAAAAGAGGGAGAAAAAGTCCCAGAAGGGGAAAGAAGAAAACATCTAGTGTGTTTCTGGAAGAGAATCCAGAGAAAGGACCACGTCCTTAAAGTTGGCAACACTGAAAGCTTGGGATTTTTAAAAATCATTTATTCATTTAATGTTTGGAGCTCCTGGAGGAGACGCTCTTATAGTTGGTTGGCTGGAAAGCTGGGGACAGCCCCATTGAAGTGATTTAGGAAAAGGAGTGGGCCAGGATTTCCTGTGCCCAGTTTTCTTCTGCTTCTGGGGTGTGGATGGGACCTAAAGTTTCCTTCATGCTCCAGCAGGAAGATGAAGAGAGAAGGAGGGGTGTTGGCGACTCCTGTGCTTATGAGAGATGGGGAGGCCAGGTCAGTGAAGAAGAAACACTGCGGACATGAATAATTCAGTTTGACTGGATACAGGGAGATCGTAGCAGGGTGTGTAGGACCCCTTAACGAGACACCCTGGAAGGCTGTGCTTCAGGAACTCAATGATGGTCACCTTGGTTCTTGGAATAATAGAAAATCTTGCCTTCTTTTTCCTTCTGCTTCTATTTTTCTGATATATTTTTTAATGAGTAGTGTTCATTTTATAAAAAAGAAGGTATAAAGTGATCTTCAAAAATAGGAAAGGGGGTTGGGGTTGTGGCTCAGTGGTAGAGTGCTTGCCTCACATGTGTGAGGCACTGGGTTCAATTCCTAGCACCACATATAAGTAAATGATTAAAATAAAGGTCCATCAACAACTAAAAAAAAGATATACACCCCTTTAATATATAATTAATACATTAAAAAAAGGAAAGGCGATCATATTAGATGTTTTTCTGTAACATTTAAAAAATATTCCAAAGCCATCCTTATAATTTTATGGATATAAATCTCTTCTTTCTCGTCTCTTTAATGCATACATACAATTTTACACAAATGGAATCATGCATTTTGGTTCAATCTCCTTTTCTATTTTTCTTCTACCCTTGTGCATCCCATCTACAGCCCCCACCCTCTAGCTCCCCAGGAAAAGTGTTAACAATCTGGTGTGTGTCCTTTAGTACTATTTTCTACATAACCATTTATATATGACCATGCATGACTCTACATGTAGACTTGTACATATCATAGTCATATACATATATATGGACATTTAGACATAGGCATGTTTAGATACACTATAAGCATTTTTTTTCTTAGATAACAAAGGTGGGATCACACTCTGAATATGTCCCTACACCTCACCTTTTGTACTCACTACCACCTTCTGAAGATACTCAAGGCCACTGCTGTAACTCCTATTATCATTGCTTTGTGATTCTCTATGATGATGTTACATTATAATTCAATCATCCACAGGTGGGAGTTTTGAACACCCCCCCCCACACACACACATTTTTGATTGAGGCATTTTGGTTGTACATACTGATAAGATTTGTTGCTACACCTTCCTACTTATACACAATATATAATATAATAATATAATTTGAACAATACTACGCCCCAGCCCTTCCCACCTTCCTTTTTCTTGATTCTAGGAGATGGTGGCTATTTAGCCACTGTCATTTGAAAGTTTATATGCTCTATATTTCAAATAAATTAAGTTTTATTGACCTGATTATGTTGGTATGCCCGGTTTTTATCCATGCATGTCTAATGACATTCAAACTAGCTATTCTATTGTAAGCATGAGACAATACTTTTTGGTTAATGTGAGTGTCATACAGTAACACTGTAGAATAATTAATCAACAAATATTTTGGAGTCTTTATTACATGACATCTAACTTCGCTTGAATTGGTGATTTGCCAGACTCTTAAATAGAACTTTTGCAATTTTCTGTAAAGGGATTAAAAATAGGCCAAAATCAAAAAGGTGGGAAATTCTATTTGAATTAAACAATTATTGGAAAAATAGGCCTGATCTTCACAAGGCAATAAAGTTTTTATTGTTTTATTAAAATTTTCGCTGCAAGGATTGCATTTAGTATTTTACAGTCAGGTGTAGCTCATATCTGAGTTTTAGAGGTTAGTAAAAATAACCTTAGCTTCTCATTGTCAAATTTTCTTTGTTCTCTCTAGCAATTAGCTTATGCCCTGAAGATTTGAGTTATAGGCAATCAACACCAAATTGAGATGACTCTCAATTATACATGTAAGTCTGTATTTTAAAAAGGGTACATATAACATAATCCTTTAATATATAATTAATACATTATATTTAAATACAAATTTTAAATATTATATATTATATATGCATACATATACACATCTAAATCCTCTTAATTTTGAAGACCATTTTTTTAGAATTGTGAAATCTTTTTTTAAACAATAGATAAATATTATACTTTTTATTTCAGTTTGCCAAGAGTTTTAGATCATGCTAACCAAGTACTAATGCAGCAAAAGGTGATTTTGCCTAGCTGAGCTGACTCTGATGACAGATTATAAATCACTTCCTATCGTTTTACCACAGGAAGGCGAGGGTGTTAGCTTGTTACCTTTGCTTAAATGTCTACCTGTGGTTCCATTACAAACAAAAATTAGGAAACACACTCATCCACTGTCATAAACTTTGGACTATTGTAAACAAGTACATAACAAAAACTTTTTACTCTTAAGCCTAAATTTAAAAGCAGGTGTGAGGGCAAAGAGGTTTGCTAATGTTGCACATGGGTCTTCAGGCTCAGGGACAAGGGGTAGTGTATGATGGATGAGATTGCTATCTAAAAAAAATTCCACTTTCGGGGCTGGGGTTGTAGCTCAGTGGTAGAGCGCTTGCCTAGAATGTGTGAGGCACTGGTTTCGATCCTCAGCACCACATGTAAATAAATGAATAAAATAAAGATATTGTGTCCATCTACAACTAAAAAAAAAGTTAAAAAAAAATTCCACTTTTGGGCTGGGATTGTGGCTCAGTGGTAGAGCACTTGCCTAGCACAGGTGGGACCCGGGTTCGATCCTCAGCACCACATAAAAATAAAGGCATTGTGTTGTGCCCATCTACACCTAAAAATATAATAAAAAAAAATTCCACTTTCTTTTTTGCAGGAAATAGAATTACCTGAGGATCTCTATCAGTCATTCACCTTTGGATGGAAATCATGGCATCTTTGACACATAGGCAAGAGATGTAAGATGTCCGGAAGCCCTGGTGAAGTTAGTGGCTTCACCCCTGGAGAGTGGCAGAGTCCCCTTTGTAATTATAAGGCTTAATCACCACCTTTTCCCTCTGAGTGTTTTTTTTACTCATTGCTTCTCATCTCCAAGGATGGGCCAGGAAGGTGAAATACAGACAGCTGTGGTGAGAGATTTGGTATGAGAGAACAGTTCTCCTCCACCCACACATCCTTACCCAGTGTGGGCTGAGTTCCGGCTGGCCAGCCTCTCCTGACCTCTGGGCTGACTCACCCCGTGCTTACCACCTAGTCATCTCCTCTGTCTCTGCACTGTTTGTCCAGGGGCAGAGCTGGCCTCTGGCTCACTAGCACTGGGAAGGCACCACTGTGCTCTTGGAGTCTTCAAGGGCTAGAATGGGAGAACTTTGTGACCATCCTTCTAGCCCCTTGCTTCATAAAAAGACGATGGAATCAGGGAAGAATGTCTTGTGCCTTCCAGATGTGTACTTTCTACTCTACCAGGCTCACTCCACTGCTCACCTACAATTCTCCCTGTGAGAGGCCAATTCTTTTGGGAGTCAAATACCCTTTGGGAGAGTTGCCATCTTAGTCAACTTGAGAGCAAAATTGTCGGACGCCTTCTGCTGTGGTTTGATTATAGTTGTTCCCACTAAACTTATGCAGGAGTTTAAGCCTCAAAGTGTTTATCTTAATGGAACAACTTTATACAAACATCGCATTTAGAAGTGAGGTCTTTTAGAAGTGATTAGATTGGGCCCTTAGGATGGAGACCCCATGATTGAATTCCGGTAGTTCTAAAGAGAGAGGGAGAGGGACCACATAGACATATCCCTGTGCTCCACCATGATGTAATGCAGCCGTGGGGGCCTGTGCCAGAGCCTGCGCCATGCTGTTTAGACCTCCATCCTTCAAAACTGTGGGCTAAACAAACCCCTTTTCCTAATAAAGTAGCCTGCTTCAGATTATATTGTGACACTCTGTGTGTACAAACACGTAACAACGAATTCCACTATTATGTAAAACTATAATGCACCACCAATAAAAAAATAACAGCTCCTGCCTCAGGAATTTCATTATATTCAGTGAAAATGGAC